AGAGAGAGAGAGAGAGAGAGAGAGAGAGAGAGAGAGAGAGAGAGAATGAAACACTACGGACGAGATCTGGGAAGTCACGTTTTTAAAAGCGTATCAGTAGGGGAAGAAGAAATATTTACCTGGAGATCTAGGTAGAGCTGCAGCACCGCACTACAGCGCGAGCATCTGACAAAATTTGTCATGCTCCAGAGTGCCGTTATCTCTAGTCTGTCTGTTTTTTGCCAGTACCCGTATCTGTTTTATCCCTAGCCTTCTTGTGGTCGAGGTACCCCGGCGAAATAGCCCTTGGGCCCAAACCAAGCTCCAAAATATCGGCCCAGTCATCAAAGAACCCGTCACTTTCCCTGGATACCTCCCGCACCCCCTTAAAGAACATGAAATTAGGAAACCCCTTCAGTCGCAATTCTCTTCTTAACGCGAGCAACGTACCGCCCACTCCCCAATTGTCAGAGGAGTGGGAAACTATTCTGTGCAGGTGACATTTAGCGGACGCTTTCTTGAACTGTATCGGACCATGTGACCAAAAATCCTGAGTGGAAAAAATCCTGATAGGATTCTCTGACCACATCATTGCTTGATTCTTCATTTTGGCTACACACTTGACGGTTCAACGCAACTTGTAATAGAGCACCCAAAAAAATCCCATTTCCCGTTTTCGTCATCCGTCCAGACAAGTGACAGATTATCATCATAGGAGCTGAGGAAACGCATAATCAAATGTCTTGCTTTTTCCAGCCAGGAGGAACTTTTTCCTGGGAGCAGGAGAAAAATACTGACATCATCAACCAGACGAATGCCTGAGATGAAACGGGCATCCGTCCCAATGGATTCAAGGAACATAGCCTCGTTATAGGAACGTAGTAGACATGCTAGTGTTGGGCTCGAACATTTCCCCATCGGGATTCCGACGACTTGCTTGATGATCCGTCCTGCAGCCTTTGAAAAGGTATGAGCTAGATCGAATATGACGAAGTCTATGATCATAGTAAACTTCACATTGACCCAGCCTGATTCTCCAAATCCTCTAGCAAAACTTGCACCTTTGCCAGACCTGTTAACCCTTACTGATTGTTTACCTTCGCTAAGAAACACATCGCAGATCCACTCGACATCCTTAATAATCGATTGGTGCGGCAGCTTGGTGAACATCTCCTTGATGTCGAAGCTAGCTGCCAAAAGACATCCGTTAGTCAATTTAGAGGCTCGCCGATTAATCCCCAGGATCCTAGTTTTAAGCAGAGAAGTAGACTTTAGATTGAAATGGAGCCTGCTAGGTAGACTCCAAAGAAGGAAATTGATGGTCCTGACTACAATTTTACAAGCCTTTACACTAGGTTCTGCATAAGATGGGGAAATAGGACGCCATCTAAAGGTGTCCTTGTGCTTAGGAATGCCATAGCAGCAACCCAAATGACCTTTGGTATTCCAGGCTACAACCCTGTCCGCCCCTATAGCCTTGTATTCCCTTCTGCAAGCTTCAAGCAGTTCAGCCTCTTCTTTATCAATTACAACAAAACCTGAGTTCTCCCAAAATATATCTGCCAGAGCGTGAAAGTAGATACTTTGACAGCAAACCAAGGAGTCACCAATATTATGGTCAATAGGGCAAACCACCAGCTCTGCCAATATGGTCTTCCATTCGGCTAAAGTATCAGAGTCACATCCGGTCTTGTTCCGTTGTGGTCTGAGACACCGACCCAATTCATGCCTAGAGATGTGACTTGTACCTAGACAGTTAGAGGTTCCAATTTCCACAACTCTTCTAATAATACTGGATCTAACAGGGCGATCCGACGGAAGAGTGTTTTTAGAATTAATGAGATTACTAGGAACACCAGAGAATTCAGAGAAGCGAAAGAAAATATGGCCGTCTTTATTTCTAGGTAGAGTCGCATCTCTCACAACACAGTCGCACTCACTCGATACGATCTTGGCCATATGTCTATGGTTATGCAGATGATTCCCTATGGTTTTAGTGTGAGTCCAAACAAATCTCAGTCGGGATATTATAAAATCAGCAACACATTGAGGCTCACAACGCCTCCGGATTTCTTTTTTTGTCAGATTGACAACTTCTGTCTTAACAATACTGTCAGAGAAAACGCATTTAATGGTAATGGCCGTCAGACACCTAAAACCACATTTCAGCTTGAGCACCCTTCCAACCACTCCTTTTAGCACGGCATGCATTCTTCCATTCCCAAAGGATTCAATACAATTATATAGCTTAATAAGAGCTTTGATATCGAAGCTATAGAGCAACTTTTTGGACTGAGGTACTTGGAGTAGGGTAGCCAAAACAATCTTCCTCTGCTGAGACAAACTTTTCTGCAGTCTTATATGCAAAGTAGTAAAAGTACCTCCCTGTCTGAAAAATGCCCGAGCGTCTTTCAAAAAAATCCTACGCCCCTCATGCTCGACAATGGACCATCCCAATCGCTTCTTCAAACGCCCCCAACCTTCAAAGAAATAATAACCTCCCCTGGTCCTGATAGTTGCTGAGTAGCAATCCAAACTTACGGCTTTTTCCAGCGCCGTGCTCAGAGAGAAGGTAGAAAGAGAGTTCTTGGAAAATAACGCACTACCAATTGAGACATCCCAAACAAGGAGGTGATGGCCAACAACCTCATTTGACTTGTACAGACCGTTTTTCCGTGCAAATGCTTTTCGCTCCCTTCTTCCATTTCGCCTGCCCCTGCACTTGTGCCTTCTCTGAGTGTTGAGTGCAGGACTCCATCTGGCAATGCAGTTTGCCTCTACTTCGCTCAGTTCGTCGATTGGCACGTTAACCAGCGGAATAGCCACATATTTATCCCATCCCTTAGTACCCAACCATCTTCTCAACTTATGGTTACATCTGGTTGAGAATCGATTCGTAGATCCCACATGCTCATCCCACCTATCTGATATACCCCTAGTGGTACTTCCAATATAGGTAGCCTTAAGCCATGGTGAGAGAAGTACATAGACGCAACAACCTTCACCTTCACAAATATCGTTAACTGACTCGACCCACTGGTCGACAAACTTCAGACCCCATGTAATCTGCCCAGCCAAAACTAGTGGCAGAATAAAAAATCTCAGCTTTTGTTCTAACCACCGTCTTTCCTTACCTTTCACTTTCCTGCTAGTCCTTACCTCGCAGAGATCAGACACTTGTTGCCATAACCAACGGGGTTCGCGATAGGACTCAAGAAGGATTCTCCTCTTGAGTTTCCTCTGTCGTGTCGTTGTCGCGATCCTCCTCCTCGTCTTCGTCTCCGTATGCTTCGTTTACTCGAATGGCTGTGATATCGACAACGGCTTGTTTCTTATTATGATATTTGATCTCATCCTTATTGGATAATTCCACAAGCTCATTCTTATATTTTCCCATCAAGAATTTCTCCATCTCTTCCCGATACTGCCTCCTCCCCCCTGCGCCAGGATTGGCGACAATGGCTTTAATCCCTTCCCTTAGGCGGTCAAAGCCCAGCCCTGGTGATGCACCCATTGAGGAAGAACTACTGGACATGCGTCTTGCCGTCCCGGCTACTGAAGCAAAAACCTCGGCTAGTCTCCCTGTCGATCTACCGTTGGGAGTATCGGCTTGAACCCTAGAGGGTCCAGCGTCACCTTGATCTTGCTGTGCAGCGTTAGGTGCCATGCTATGAGTGATAGGGTGATTGGCAGTCCTTGGGAACTGCTCTTTAATCACGACACCCGGAGCTCTTCTGTTGGAAGGAGCTGGAGGGGGAGGCAGGGAATCGGGTAGTCGAGAAGCACGTGGCAGAGACTGCGGGGCAGGAGGAGAAGAAGAAGTGCCGATAGGTGGAACAAAAGGAGGAGCATGCGGAGGAGGAGGAGGTGGAGGGGGAGGGATCACAACATTCGGGTGCTGAGGATGGGAAGGGGCAGTCGGACAAGGAGCTACAGGATGTGTTGTGCGAACATTCTGGGCATGCGAAGGGTTATTAGAGCCACCTGCCACAGTGGCTTCAGCGGACGGTGCTTCCGCGGGAGGGGCTGCAACTCTGGCAGATGGACCAACGTGAGTAGGAATAGCCGCAGAGAAGGTAGCGCCTCTGTGTGATGCTTCAATCTTATCGATGAGCCCAATGACACGCTGAAACATCAGGTTCTGCTGGTTCTGTGCGCGTCCAAACATCTGGCCCTGCTGCACCTGTGTACGCTGTACATTGTCCAGGTTCATGAGCAGTAGTCCTGCATCCAAAGCCCCTACCTCGTTGACACGCTGTCTCGGAGTTGAAGGCTGCGCGACAGCGGCGCCGGCTACATCCTCCTGACCTCTCTTCTTGGCGTTATCACCATTACCGACTGCCTTGAAGTTCGTTCCAGTTTCTGAACCCTTTTTCAAACCGATTTTTTCCCACAACTTCTTATTATCCTCCTCCCTTTTCTTTTCCATCTCCATTTTCTCATCCATCATTTTGGCTAGCCTAGCCTCTTTTTCCGCCTCCTTCTTAGCCTCGTCCTCGATTCGTTTCATCTCTGCTTCCCTGACAACTCTTTCTTGATCTTCTCTCATACGTCGCTCGCTTTCTAACCTACGAGATTCTCTCAACTCTCTGTGATCGTAGGCCAGTTCCCTTACTAAAGCCAGAATCTCTCCCTCTGCAGATCTAGGCCTGGAATTCCAAGTGTTCCAACCATTCAATGCTTGGTGCGGAACGATGTGACGAGGTTGGTATGGCACAAGTGCATTCGAAGTGGATGCGGACGTATCGAGACCATGTGCCGAACTACCAGAGGACGAAGCTGGAGGGGCGGGCAGGGGAAGTGGTAGAGGTGGTTGAAGATGCGGTGCGGGAGGTGCAGACAGAACCGAGGAAGGGAGTGGCGGGGCTGATGGAGCATATTGAGGTGGGTTGAGCGGGTGAGAAAGGATGGGTTGGTTCGGATTGGGAGGCAGGTTGTAATTAGGCCCTCCGATTGACCGTCCCGATACATAACGATCGTTCCTCCTTGGGTGAGGGCACGATCGGGCCCAATGGCCATGCTGACCGCAATTGAAGCATGCGCCGTACGGAACAAAGCTATCACCCATACTACCACCTCCGAAATTTCTAAAACGACAGTATCACCATGAAGTCACCCGAGTAACATAAAAACACGGAAGCTTGATTGAGAGAGCCATGGATGAGGAGGCTTCGGAACTCTGACTTCTTGAAGGCGCTCGATCTTCGGGGCAGCTTCTGGCGTCAGGCGTCAGCAGATGACTCCAATGCAAGAAGATCCTCAGAGCGATCGCTAACGCGGATCCACCACACCGCGAATATCGCGGTGGTCAACACGCTAGTAATGGTCAGGTGAAAGGTTGTCGTGCAGAAACACGAACGAACCAAACCCCGTCACAGGGACAAGCCCTGTAAATGACCAAGATAGCATCTCCCACTTCGACTTAGCAAACCAAGACATCCATAGTTTGAAGCATACCAAAGGATGATGCACAGAAGAGCGAGATACAGACACAAAAAGGAAGAAAGAAGAAAAGGTCGGAGAGGAAGAGTAGAAGGGAAGAAGACGCGCAATGAACCAAGGCTTGTATTAAAAAATGAGTGAGGATCGTAAGCCTTCTGGTGATGTCCCGACCGGTTTCGACCTTGCCACCAGTAACAAGGTCATCGTCAGGGGACTTGCGGGCGCGATTCGGAAAAAGAGCCATGATGAACCATATATATAGTGTTGGTTTCTCATCGCGTGAAAAGACTTAGGCGGTTTTTTCGTCCGCCCGTGATGATGCTTCCACCGGACCATTGAACCTATCCGTAGCTGCTATTCTTGGCGGGAAGTCTGCAGAGCAGGTAACAGGGCAATAAGGCGCGAATCAGTAAAAACTTGCTACGTTACTAACACAACCGGGCTTTGAGAGATACTTATCAGAAGGACAAGGTAAGAAATCTTCAGAAAAAGCTATGTAGAGATTTGAGACTCTGGACGTCGCGGTAGGTGTTGAAAAACCTGGAAGAGAACGACAGAGATTCAAAAAAGGCGGGAAGGAGAGAGAGAGAGAGAGAGGGGGGGGGGGGAGAGGAGAGAGAGCGAGGGCTGTCTCTTATACACATCTAGAAATGAGCGTTGCATTGGAAGAAGAGAGGGAG